GACATTGCAGGAAAATTTCAAGGGAATTCCAAAATACTATTTTTAAAAATTACAAAAATTTTATAGGAAAAAAATAGAAGAACTTCAGATATTTTGAAATCTGTTAAGTCTTCTTTGAAATTAACATGAGGTCCGCTTACTATTAATAATGAACATGTTGAAAAAATCGTCTGAATATGAGGTTATTGAGGTTTCTTTCATTCCAGATCTCTGCTAATTAGTATCAGGGATAATTACATCTGTCTCTCTAGTTCTTCTAGAGAACTACTTCTCAACTCCTCTCTCCCTTAGGAGTCTACACATGAGCCAGAGAATACTTTAGCACAGAATGCTCTAAATGTAAACACAACACAATTTCCTGTAAAAAAACAAACAAACAAAACCTGTGGTTCCGTTTATTGTCATGTGGTCTCATTTGACTTTTAAAATCCACATCTTTTAATTTTAGGAATTGTATTAAATGTTTTAAGGTCAAAAACTGTACTTTTCTATGTTGAATTACTGGTAAGAAGCTGGCAATCAAGTGCAAGTTCTTTATGGACTAGACTGAAAAGCTCTTGTGTACTGTCAACCCAGTATTCATTTCTCAAAGCAAATGTCACCAGCACAATGGTTCTGTTGTGGATTCAAAACCAAGTTCCGTTTCAGCAATAATAGCGCAGCAGTAAACTCCTCCTCGTTGTCAGGCCCTGAGGCCATCTGGTTTTAGTCAGGCACTTCAGAGTCATCTCAGAGTGTCTTTTCTTTTTGTTTTGTTTTGTTTTGTTTTGTTTTGTTTTTTGACACAGGGTCTCACTGTGTTGCCCAGGCTGGAGTGCAGAGGCATGATATTGGCTTGCTGCAGCCTCGACCTCCTGGGCTCAAGTGATCCCACAGGTGTGTGCCACCAACCCCAGTTAATTTTTGTATTTTTTTTTGTAGAGGCAGGGTTTTGCCATGTTGCCCAGGCTGGTCTCCAACTCCTGGGCTCATGCGATCAGCCTGCCTTGGCCTTCCAAAGTGCTGGGATTATAGGTGTGAGCCACTGTACCTGGCCCAGAATGTCTTTATTAGCTGTGTTAGATCATTAGTTACAGAAACCCAGCTAGTTAGAAATAAATTGCTTTCCTGCTTACCTGCCACCTAGTTCTGAGTACACATGTCAGTCCTACAATCCCACCTAATATCTGATGCATAAACTAAAATGATAGTCAAGGTTGTTCACTGGTGGTGAAATTTTGAGGGATTATTTTTAAACTTTTCTATATTTTTGAAATATTTTAACAGATTGTTGTTTTTTTAACAAGAAGAAAATAAACTTTCTCAAAAAAAAAAAAAAAAAGCAACGCCAAGGAAAGACTTTTTTTTTTTTTTTTTTTAGAAGGGTCTCACTCTGTCGCCCAGGCTGGAGTGTAGGGGTGCGACCTGGGCTCACTGCAACCTCGTCCTCCTGGGCTCAAGTGATCCTCTCACCTCAGCCTCCCAAGTAGCTGGGACTCCAGGCTCATGCCACCATGCCCAGAATACTTTTAAATTTTTTTGGAGCTGGGGTGGGGGTCTTACTGTGTTGCCCAGGCTGGTCTGAAATTCCTGGCCTCAAGTGATTCTCCTGTGTTAGCCTCCAAAAATGCTGGGATTACAGGCATGAGACACTGTACCCAGCCACCTTTTTTTTTTTTTTTATGCCAATGAAATTTCTAATCTGATTTCCTGGCTTCCTGGCAGAGAAGGAAGCCACTTCAAAAATAATTCTACTTTTTTATTAGAAATACAGAAACAACCCTCTTTTTCTACAAGGATGAAAGTGTCATTCACATCTCCTCCCACTCAGCTCCATTGTAGTTTAAAAAAAAATGTGATTTCAAAATCTGTAAAAGAGGAAGCGGCAAACTGGGAGTTTGTAGGCCACATCAGGCCCTAACACTTGTTCTGTTTGGTGACCACATTATTTAAAAACTGAAATTGAATGCCCCTCAAGTGGGCCCTTTGTTTCCCATAGGCCCACTGAACATTTAGACACTTAGGTAATCTTCCTGGACCCTGAAGGCATTTGATTTTGACACCCTTACACTAGCATCGCATAAGAAGTAGACTGGGATACTACATGACTAAGACATGTTAGGCAAAGTTACAACTGTGCTAATATCATCATTCTGCTCTTCAATTTGCATATGGAAAACACTGATTTCAGGAAAGGAATTTTAGCAAATTCAGTGTCCACAGTCACATGCCTCTAGGTTATCCTAACAATATTCTCCCATATAACTCCCTTCCCTTTTAGTTCATTCTTTACATGACTTCCTGGTTAGTAATCCTAGAGCCTGACTTTAATCACATATTTGTTGTTCATTCTTTTTTTCTTCACTGTGTGCCAGGTCTCTATAGGTGCTAAGAACACAAAATAGATGAGACTCAAGGTCTCATACCCCCTGAAAATAATCAGACATGTAAATTTAAAATAATAGGAGTGTAGTTGGTACAAAATGGGTTCTGAGGAAACACAGAGAATGAAGATTGTGACTGTGCCTGGGAAAAAGTTTTCCAAAGGTAACAATTGAACTGACTTTTGAAAGAGAAGTAGATATTCAGCTGATGACTAAGTCAAAGGCATTCTAGCACACCCAAAGCATGGACTCAAAGAAAGGCTTGGAAAATTCAGGAAACCTCAAGTAGTTTGGTTTTACTAGAGCAACAAGGAGTAAAGAATGGGGAGAAAGGAAATATGCGTTCATTCATTTAATGTTTTCTTTTTCTTTCTCTCGTTTTTATTTATTTATTTATTTTTTACAGTCTCATTCTGTTGCCAGGCTGGAGTGCAGTGGCACGATCTGGGCTCACTGCAAACTCTGCCTCCCGGGTTCAAGAGATTCTCCTGCCTCAGCCTCCCGAGTAGCTGGGACTAAGGCACCTGTCACCTTGCCCAGTGAATTTTTGTATTTTTAGTAGAGATGGGGTTTCGCCATGTTGGCCAGGATGGTCTCGATCTTTTGACCTCATGATCCACCTGCCTCGGCCTCCCAAAGTGCTTAATGTTTTATTTTATAAATTGTTTAATGCTGCAAGCATTGAGGATAAAGCAATGATTTATATAGTAGCAGCATTTGTTGCACAGAGTTCACAGTCTAGTGAAGAATACAGAAAAGTAAAGAGGGAATAAAATAGAGTTCAGTAAACGGTATGATAAAGTAAATGCAGAGAATCAAGAAAGCACAGAGGAGGACGTGTAGAGGTAGACAAGTATACAAGTATATGGTGGCTCGTGGATTTTCTGATGTGCTGCTGAGATCCACCTTTGGGAATGAAGGACTTATTCTCCCAGTTTCTGACAATGATGCCAGAAGACAACCCTCAAATTGTAGCATTACCCAAGGTCTTTCTTCCTTCCAAAGACATCTTGCCTCCAATGCTTGACCAGTGTGTTTTATAAAGCTTTGGCTCCCACGTGATCCAACTTGGAGCAATTCTGAGCAGCCAGTCCAGCTCCAGAGCTACCCAAGGCGGGGGCTGAGCAACTTTTATTGGGGCTGGATCACAGCTCAACTTCTCCTTTTACCTAATCCTGTTTCTTTCTCCATTCTTCTACAGATGTTGATCCATTGGGAACTCCCTAATAAATATCCTGTTTCAGAATCTTTTTCCTTGTACAAATTATGAAGTGTCCTTGAATGCCATTCTGAGTAACCTGGATTTTGTGCTATATACAACTAAAGTCAGAGAAGGCTTTTAGCAGGGAACTAGCTTGGCCATAAATGTAAATTAGAAGGTTGCAAAATTGAAGACAATATTATTGAAGAGGATGTTATGGTAGTCCAACCGAAACACATTTATAACCTAAATAAATCCATCCACAGTGGGGTAGAGAGAAAGAGATGAATGTAAGATGTATCCATGGGCAATACTGGCAGGACACACTTGGTGATTGACTATAGATGGTGGGCATGGTAAAATCATGTAAGTCTCCCCTAGTTATTTGGCTTGGGGAAAGGGATACATCTTGGTATCACTAATCAAGATAGAAGATGCAGGAGAAGAAGCAGGATCATTAATGAATATGATAAGTTCACTTTTGTACCTGTTGAGTTTGAAGTAAATTCAATACAGTAAAAATGCAGATAATACTTGGTAGATGGTGGAAAACGTATTGGGAGATCAGGATGAAGGTCAATACTAGAGATATAGGATTGGGAATAATCAGAATCTGTAGTAGTTAAATACACAGATGGGAATGAGCTCAGAGTTTCACTGTTCTGCTCTAAAATTGTCAGATCTCCATACTGCTTACCAAAGCAATTCCTAACTCCTCCAACTGGCACCCAGACAAAATAATGACACTTCAGCACTACGGACAGTGTCAGGATTGCTTGTACACCCCGCCCCCTTCTCACCTCATCCTCAAAATTTTAGTTCTGGTAGATAAGGACTTCCTTATTATCTTCTACTGTCTAGCTTTCTTGCCTTACTTTCTATCTGTCTCCTGGCTCATATCTTTTGCTTAAGGAATTGTGTTAAAGTCATCTAGTTCAAGCTTTTCCTTTTTTTTTTTTTTTTAAAGCAGATGAGGAACTTGAGGCCCAAAGAGGTGAAATGATTTGCCCAAAGCTACATTACTGGTAAGTAACAGAGCTGGGACCCAGATTTCCAGGATCATGCCTTAATGTTCTACTGCAATACAACATGAAGTAGACTCCATAATTTTCCAGGCAACAAGTTCAAGCTAACAGGCATTTGTCAAAAGAAGACATACATGTCGTCAACAGAGAAATGAAAAAAATGCTCAATATTTCTAATCATTAGGGAAATGCAAATTTAAACCACCATGAGATATCATCTTACACCTGTTAGAATGGCTAAGGTTAAAAAAAAAAAGACAAAAGATAACAAGGGTTGACAAGGGCGTAGAGAAAAGGAAACCCTGGTACACTGTTGATGAGAATGTAAATTAGCATTACCATTATGGAAAATAATATGGAGGCTCATCAAAAATCTAAAAACAGAATCACCATATAATCTAGCCATCCCACTTTTGGGTATATATGCAAAGGACTTGAAATCTGTATGTCAAAGAGATATCTGCACTTCAGTGTTCATTGTAGCATTATTCACAATAGTAAAGATACGGAAGCAACTGAAGTGTCAGTGGATGAATGAATAATGAAAATGTGGTATATATGCATGATGGAATACCATACAGCCTTAAGAAAGAAGGAAATTCTGTCATTGCAACAATATGCATAAACCTGGGGGGCATTATGCTAAGTAAAATAAGCCGGGCACAGAAAGACAAATACTGCATGAACTCAATGATAATGTGGAATCTAGAAAAAAGTTAAACTAATGGAAGCAGAGAGTGGAATGGTGCTTACCAATGGCTAGGGAAGGGGGGAGGGTAGGGGTGGGAAAAGGAGAGATGTTGGTCAAAGGGTACATAGTTTCAGTTAGATAGGAGGAGTAAATTTCAGTAATCTAAGTAGATTTTAAATGTTCTCACCATAAACTAATGTTAAGTAGGTGAGCTGATGGCTGTACTAATTACTTTGATTTAATCATTCCACAATGTATACATAGATCAAAACATCATAACGTACCCATAAATATATACAATTATTATTTGTCAGTTAAAAACAGACATTTTAAGCTGGCTAATAATAGTAAAAATACAGCAATAACAACAGTAACAATAGTAATACAACACAATCAAAAAACAACTCTTCACCTGATTGGATCTTAACTTGGCTTGGCATTCTTTCAGAAATTTTTAAAAATTATCTCTTTGATTTTTGTTCATTCTCTTTGAAATCTTTTATCAGATATTCTAGATCCATCATCGTCTTCCATTAATACATCATCTTTTTTCTCATTTTATTCATTCCTTTATCACTTTTCTCTGAATGCTTCAAATTCACTGATTTGATTTTTGTCGCTTTCCAATTTTGCTCTTTACTGCTTCCACTTTATTTTTTTCTTTTAGAGACAGGGTCTTACTGGGTCACCTGGCGGTCTCGTTATGTTGTCCAGGCCAATTTTGAATTCCTGGTCTCAAGCAGTCCTCCCACGTCAGCCTCCCAAAGCACTGGGCTTACAAGGGTTAGCCACTGTGCCCAGCTTCCATGTCATTTTTAAAAAAATTCTAGCAATCTTATTTTTATTTCAAAACGAATCTTTTCTAACCTTAAATTGTTCCTATTTTAAAATGTAATTTTTAAATGATTGACAGTTTTTAAAGATACCATAAAATTTACACTTTTAAAGTGCACAGTCTAGCGGTTTCTAGTGGTTGTACGTTTTCAGAATTGTGCAACCATCAACATTATCTAATTTCAGAACATTTTTATCATGCACAAAGGAAACCCCATACTCGTTAGCAATCACTCCCTATTTCCCCCTCCCTCAGCCCCTGGCAATCACTAATCTACTGTTTCTATGAATTTGCCTATATATATAGACAATTCATATATATGTGGAATAATAAAATATGTGGTTTTTGTGTCAGGAGTCTTTCATGTAGTATAATGTTTTCAAAGTTCATCCATGTTGTAGCATGTATCAGCACTCCATTTTTATTGCTGAATAACATACCCTTGTATGTGAGTGCATTTGTGGGTGTGTATGTAACACTTTGTTTATCCATTTATGAGTGGACAGACATTTGAGTTATTTCTATTTTTGGGCTATTATGAATAACGTTGGTATGAATGTTTGTATATAGGCTATTGTGTAAAAATGTTTTTATTTCTTTTGGGTAAACACGTGGGAGTAGAATTGCTAAGTCACATGGTAACTCTGTGTTTAACTTTCTGAGGAACTGCCAAATTGTTTTTCCAAAGTAGCTACAACATTTTACATTTCCACTAGCAATGTATGAGGATTCCAATATCTCCACATCCTCGTCAACACTTTTTATGTCTTTTTAAAAAATGATAGCCTTTCTACGGACTGTGACATGGTATCTCATTATGGTTTTGATTTGCATTTCTCCAATGACTAATAATATTGAGCATCATTTCACACGCTTTGTGGTCATGCGTATATCTTCTTTGGAGCAATGTTTATTCAGATCACTTTAAAATCAGATTGTCTTTTTATTGTTGAGTTGTAAAAGTCCTGGATACAAATCCCTTATCAGTTATTTGATTTGTAAATATTTTCTCTCATTCTGTTGGTTTTCTCTCTCTCTTTTTTTTTTTTTTTTTTTTTTTTTTTTTTTTTTTTTTTTTTTTTTTTTTTTTTTTTTTTTTTTTTTTTTTTTTTTTTGAGATGGAGTCTTACTCTGTTGCCCAGGCTGGAGTGCAGTGGTGCTATCTTGGCTCACTACAATGTCCACCTCCTGGGTTCAAGTGATTCTCCTGCTTCAGCCTCCCGAGTAGCTGGGATTAAGGCACCCGCCACCATGCCCAGCTAATTTTTTGTATTTTTAATAGAGACAGGGTTTCACTATCTTGGCCAGGCTGGTCTCGAACTCCTGATCTCATGATCCACCCGCCTTGGCCTCCCAAAGTGCTGGGATTATAGGCATGAGTCACCACGCCCAGCCCACTGGTTTTCTCTTTACTTTCTTGAGGTTTTCTTTGAAGCACAAATATTTTTAATTTTTATGAAGTACAATTTATTTTTTAAGTACAAATCTATTTCTTTCTATTACTATCTGTGTTTTTGGTGTCATATCTAAGAAACCACTGCCTTGTCCAAGGTCAAAAATATTTATGCCCCTGTTCTCTAGTAAGAATTTTATAGTGTTAGCTCTTACAATTAGGCCTGTGATCAATTTTGTGTTAAATTTTGCGTATGGCGTGCATATGGTGTAATGTTCTTTTGAATCTTGTTGGTAACTCATCATCTTTCTAGATTTTTTAAGATTTAGAGATTTTTCTAAAGTTTTTTTAAATTTTGTTTTGGTTTTATTATTAACTCTTTCATGAGTGGAGTCTATTTATTCCTCTGGTTAATTCCTCTGGTTAATTTCCTTTTTTACATTACAACTAAGTCTTTTAATCCAGAAGATGGTTCATTGGTCTGTTTATTCTGATGATTGTGTTTATGTCCATGGGTGGAGTTCACAGTTAATTTCAGAATTGTTTGGGGGTCCTGTTGAAATACTAGGTACACTCAATGGGAGAAAGGAAATTTCAAGATTTATCAGAATTACTTTAATAAATTGGCATTCCAATTGTCTGTGGAAGTAGGGCAGAGGTCGTGGGCCCATAGACTTCACCATTGTGCCAAAGAATTTCTCCTTGGTTTCTGAGATACTACTCAGTATGCTGTCTATATGAAGGGCAAGCTGGGATGCCCTCAGATATTGCTTTGTGTAGACTCTGTCTTTAATGAACTTTCTACAGATGCTGGTAGGACTGGTATTTGCCCCTCTCTGACTTCCCTATATGACACATTTGCCTCTAAACATAGAACACTTTACTGGAAATCTTCTAAATTTCACAGCAAGTGCCAATTCATATTTTCATATCCCTTTGGATATTCAATGGTAGTTTAAAACATGTAAACTCAGATTAATATCTTGAATCAGAACCATTCTTTCAGCTTCTGATTTGGCTCTGTTTCTATTGATTATTCTTCGCTTCTATCTAGTGACCCTGACTAGTTCAAGTTTCTATTTTCTTCATCTTTAACTCTTACTTTGTGTTTATACTGGTGCTTCCTGTGCTTGTCCTGCCCCCAACTTTGGCGACTAATTTCTTGATGTATTAGAGCACTGCACTAGAACCAGGAGGCCAGATCATGCTTCTTTTGGAGGTTGCTGGTCCTTCCACATTGCCTCCCTCATCTTTCTTCATCATTCTTGCAGCGAACCTCAATCAAACCCAAGGAAACCAAGTCGTCTTTGTAATGTAGACACATGGGAGCTCCTTCTCCTCCTCCCTCCTCCTTCTCTCTCTTCCTCTTCCTCTTCCTTCTTCTTCTTCTTCGTTGTCATCATCTTCTCTTTTCTTCTTCTTCCTCCTCCTCCTCTTCCTCCTCCTCCTCCTTCTTCTTTCTTCTTCTGAGACAGGATCTCACTTTGTTGACCAGGTCACAGTGCAGTGACACGATCTCAGCTCACTGCACCCTCTGCTTCCCAGGCTGAAGTGATTCTCCTGCCTCAGTCTCCCAAGTAGCTGAGATTACAGGTGCGTGCCACCATGCCCAGCTAAGTTTTGTATTTTTTGTAGAAATGAGGTCTCACCATGTTGCCCAGGCTGGTCTCGAACTGCTGGGCTCAGTGATCCACCTGCCTCAGTCTTCCAGAGTGCTGGGATTACAGACATGAGCCACAGTGGCCGGCCATGGGGCGTCTTAAAGATTTAAGTATCTTATTTATTAATATCTTTGTATTGTCCATAACAACTAGCACCATCTGAGCACATAGTAGATATTCAACAAATATTAAAGAATGAATTAACTTAAATAATTAAAAGAATAATATAATATATCAGGCCTGGTGCAGTGGCTCACGCCTGCAATCCCAGCACTTTGGGAGGCTGAGGTGGGCAGATCACTTGAGGCCAGGAGTTCGAGACTTGCCTGGCCAACGTGGCAAAACCCCATCTTTACTAAAAAATACAAAAATTAGCTAGGCCTGGTGGCATGCACCTGTAATCACAGCTACTTGGGAGGC